TTTGCGGTCAGTGTCATATCCGGTGTCAGGTCATCATTCGAATCAGTGTGGCTTCACCCTACATTTTGTCCACCAATATTTCCTGTATCGATAAATATCCACTCCGGTTCTATAAAATCCCCTCTTTTTTTTTTAACTTGATAACATTATTTCATTTTCTTTTAATACAACTTTTTTTTTTGCTATCTATTGTGCAAATAGCTAAAATAATTAAATTATAAAAGTGTGTAGATTATGAACATAAGTGAAATATTTATTGACTCTATATACCCCAACCAAGTTAAAACTTATTCAGCCCAAGTCAAATGAAACTTTAGATTTGAAAAAAAGTTTATAAATTATTTAAACTTTGTGACATTAGTTATTCCTTTTCATTGTGTTTTTTCATAAAAAAATACTAATAATAAAAAGCTCTATTATTACTTTCAAGTTTTAATATTTACTTTCAAGTTTTTATTATATGACTAAACAAGTGTTTCCGTTATTAACAAGTATAATTATTAAAGTAAGAGAATCAATATATATTCCACTTGTCGTCAAGAAAAAAAAAATATATAATGACTATCTTTAAGAAACTGTATTAAAAAAAAAAACAAAAAAAAATTTTTTGAAAAATTAGTAATAAAAAATTTAAAACATGAAAGTGTCTTTTCATTTACAAATATATTTTTTTTAAATATGTATAATGAAAGAAAAGAGGCAAGGTAACGATCAGAGGAATATTCTTTGAGTTTCAATAATAGTAGCAGTTGTCTTCTTATTGAGTAATAATACTTTTAACGATCCTAATGAACCTGAAGTTGGAGTCTGTAATCCTATATATATATATATATATATAAGCGTGTGTTGTACACGCACTCATTTAAAAAACGGTTACACACAATCTTTCACATAGACAGGGTAAACAAGTTTTCTATAACGATGGGAAGGGCACTCCTGAAAGCTTTTTAATCGCAGTCAACTTCTTTTGTCGTGCGCTGGTGGAAAAAAAATATGCCAGAAAACGACGACGACGAAGAAGACGCGTCGGTATTAAGTCGTGCTGTATATACACAAGGAATCGCAAAAGGTGACGTTGTCACTATAAACCCCCTTCTACCCCTTGTCTGATATCGCTTAGCTTAGCACACAAAGTTTGCGATCATATATTTATATATATATCAAGCAAGTCGTCGATTAGCCAAGCGTCGATTAATTGCCTGGCCATTAGGCCTTAACGGAAAATTAAGTCACTCCTTTTCCTTATGGCGTCCATTTGATCAGGGGGGGAAAAAAGGCCACAAGAACCCTTCACTATATTTCATGTAAAGACGTTGATAGTGTGTGATATCGGAAATTAAATATTGGCACTGTACTGTTGATTACACAGAAAATTAAAAGGCGCATTAAAATAATAAGCGTTGCAGTTTATTTTAATACCTTAAAATTTTCTGTGTAAATGTACTGTGCTGTTGTTTAAAATTGATGACTATAGTTACTGTTTTGTACTGTTGTACTGGAAGCTATAAAAAAATGGTTCAGTATACTGTTTTTGTTAAAAATTATTAATTGGTAATTTCTGGTTTAGTACTGATAACAATAAAAATGGTTTAGTACACAGAAAATTAAAAGGCATTAAAATAAGCTGCAACGCTTATTATTTTTATCCAATTTTGCTTATTTTAATCCATTTTGGCATTAAAATAAGCAAACTTGGATTAAAATAATAAGCGTTGCAGCTTATTTTAATACCTTATAATTTTCTGTGTACAGGAAATAAATAGTGTTATTAACTGAAATTTCATTGGTGCAACCATTTTTGAGGCAACCGATAATGGTTTATACTAATAGATGTTGATTTTGGTTTAGAATCAGCATTTAATAATTGTTACCAAAAATTTTTGGTTTATTACTGTCAGAATTAACACGCCGCTTTGGTTCCTAAGGACCTTACAGCGGCAGTTTTTCCATACCCGCTCCTCATGGTGCATCGGTAGTGAGGAGGCTTGCCAAATCACCGCCTCTTCATTATGCTGGTAGTGTTTTCGCGGGAAAGTAGATAAGCTTTGTTTACATCGGGAGTATAGTCTTTAAGGACCCAGGAATCCCAGACGGCCTAGCCGACTCTAGCGCAATCCTGTCAGAATTAACAATTTTTGATAACTATGTTCAATTTACAAAACCAATAATCTTCTTTGGTGCAATCATTTTATCAGTAACCAATATTCTATAGTTCAGTAAAAATTTCTCAACTATTTTGGCAGTAATTTCTAATTAATTCCATAATCATATACGATTATAAAAGCTTATATATATATACTCACCAGATATAAAAACTTGAACAATAATTTAATTTTTTATATAAAACACGCGCATTTGAAACTTTTACAAAGTTTGCTTCGGAAAAAAAACTACTTCTTCAATGAGAATAATAACTTTGTTAAATGCATGCATACAATATGTGCGGACACATATATAGTATAGTAACATTGATAAGAATGCGTGTTTCACTTCTTTTTTTTTTTTTTTGTTGCACCATTCATTTCTTCCGCTCTAATTTCGCGAGAATTTCTCTAAGTTTTTAAAACTCCGTATATATCGAGTAGTTTAAAAAGATGCTTTGTGTAAAAGTTTTTGCAAAGTGGATTTTTCAAAGTGTAGAAAACTTATTACAAAGGCAAACGCTATTGAAATCCTTTTTGTCAAATAATATACGATATAGCACGTGTGTATATAACATGTGCATTATATATATATTTGTGGTATGTTGTTCACAAAAGGGTTTTATAGTTGTTGTTGTTGTTGTTGAGAGAGAAAGAGAGAGAGGGAAAGGGTGAAAGGAGGAGGAGGAGCAAAAAGATATATAGTGCGGCGCGCACACGAGGTGTATGAAAACGCGAGCATGAGTGCGTGTGCCGCCATTAAAAACAGCCAATGTTTAACCAAGCAACGAGCTAATGAGGCACGCGGGAGGATATATCCTAGCACATTGCATAGTTATCTCTTGGTTGCACACACGTTTGCGCGCGCGAAAGAGATGAAAAATTAACGGCTCTTTTTTTCCATCTTTAAAAACAATGCTTTAACGAATGCCCTTTTAAAGCTCAGGAAAATTACACGCGCAGCTAATCAGCGTCAAAGATTTATTTCATAATTAACGTATATTTCCTGTTTGCTAATTTATTTATTTTCACTTGTCACAGCATCATTCTAGATCATTAATTATTGTGCTCTTTTTATGTTTTTTTTTGGAAAATTTAACATTTTCAGAATTAGTGATTAAAATTTTATATGAAGGGGAATTATATTATATATATATATATTGATTGATGAATTGTTTTTACAATAATTTGTCTTGGTTGTTCATATACACAGGTTGGCAAGAAGGTAGGTTGATAGGTAGAGGTAGTAGCCGCCATGTCTAATTATGTCGCATTGATTTTGTCATTAGCCACCCTAACGGGTCGCCGTCGACGTTGTTAGACGTCAAGGCAAAAAAATACTTCCTATCGGCAAGGCGAGCCACACACTCTCTGACACTTTTGCATTGCTTTGTCCCGTTAGTAGCGCACACGACAAGAGTCATTTATTCCTTTAGATGATGAAATTTACCCAATAGCTCAACATTTCATATATATAGGAAAAAAAAACAACTTATCTCGCAAAAAAAAAAAAAAAAATTCACATGTCCCTTAATGTTCCCTTTACACTAATGCAGTACATTACGATGGGGGTATAAAAAGACTCGTTTTTTTCCCGAGGCTTAAATTTGTCTATTTTAAAATTACAACTACTTTCACGGAAAAAAATTTATTGACTCCAATTCTAGAATAGACATAAATTAAAACTTTGTTGTAATTTTTTTTTCGTGTTACTTTAAAAATTAAAAAATTATTTTTTATCTCAATGAAATCTTTTAATTATAATGTCTAATAAGAATATTTTTTGTTATTGTTACAGGTGAGTTGACCACAGCTACCTATACTTATTGTACGGATGTTTGTGAGTATATATATATATACAAAAAAATAATTACACAATAGGTATGTTTCAGTGTCACTGAAAATAAATATATGTCCATATAGTTTAATTAATTGGAAAATAATCCCTCTATATTTGAAAATATTCCTGGGAAATGATCGCGTTTAAAAAGCCAAGTCCCTACTATTATAAACTGTATTTAATGACACTTCATTATATTATAAAGAAGCGTGAAAAGACAATAATATTTACTGGCGGAGTATAAAATTTGATAATGACTATTGAATATAATTGAGAGAAAGTTATAAGTATGCTTTCATTCTGAGAAGAAACGTTAATTTAGAAGAGAGAAAATTTAATGATAAATTCAATGTGATAATTTGTAAGCGCACAGTGTTTTATAATGGGGCGCGCAAGTTTTGCATAATTTTCAAATTCGATCGTATTCCCGTATTTTAAAATTATTTCGTAATATCTGTGCGCGCACGGCAAAAGTATCTCGATCGATATCTGAGAATAATATCTAAATTGATCTATATACATCGATATATATATATAATTTTTTGTATACTCATTTCGAGTACTTTTACAGTATATCTTTTTCCCTCATATCCATTGATAATTTTTTAATTTTATTTGAAAGATTATTGGTCTTATAATGGTGTGACTTTAATTTTTCATTGCACAATATATATATATATATATAAGCAATGTAATCTTTAACTATAGTTAGTATAGTCAATATAATGATTAATTAACGGTTGAGTAGTTAATGTAACCCTACTTCGGTAAGAATCGTTACCAAGAAGCACACAACGTGACATTATAATGGGCCCAATAACAACTCGAGGCCATTAACTTATATATATATATATATAAACCAAGCGCAGCAAAATCGCGATTCGATTGGTCGAGAGACGCAAATATGGTTGCCGAACAATTTCGTGTGTACACGCATTCACGTTCGCAATTATGTTCACTCCTGTATGTTCTCGATAAAAAATAATTTTTAACTTGAAAAAAAAAAAATTATCAGTTACCTTTTTTTTTTGTTGGGCCCTTGCAAGTATTAAAAGTAATCGATGATTACATTTCGCGCTGGAGGACTCCTCTCTCTCTCACAATGTTTTAACCTGCGCAAAAGAAATATAATTAAAAAAGTTAATTAGGCACATATAATTATTTTACTAAAGAAAAAAAAAGTTACATTTTGAAATTTTAATGAAAAATTAAATACATAATTTTTCTCAAGTAATTATATTTAATTGTGTTTTTCAAGTATAATTGTTTTGGAATTAAAAAAAAAGAAATGAATAAAACATTTTTGATTTATAAAAATTGGTAAATATTCAAAATGATTTTTCTTTTTGGAGAATAAGTAAATTTTTAAATTTAAATATTTTAATTTTCATCAATTTTTTTTTTTTTTAATACACACAACTGTATAAACTCAAAAAGGATTTAAAATTATATTTTATTTAATGAGGATTTTATATACATGATTAGATAAATTATCTCTGTTTGATGAATCGTGGCTTGAGGTTAATAATAACAGACACGTGTAATTTTTTCTTTCTTTTTTTTTGAAACAATATATAACAGATATTAATCAATAAATTTTCTAATTGTAGATATTAATCAGTATTATTAGACAAATTTTTGATTAACTGAATATATATATATATATATATATATTGTTTGCATTTTCCCAAAGAATTATATAGTTATTGATAAATATATATGTACAGTTGGAACGTACATTGTAAAAACAAATAAATATTTATCGTTACTAGTGTCATTTTATATTCTATTTTTTTCTCTACTATTACACGCGATAATTTTCCATTTTTTTTTCTCTAGAAAATAGTTTATTTTTCACTTTGTATTGTGGTTATTATACTTTTGAAAATATTTTTTTTTTTGCAATTTATCTATTTCTTTTCAAATAAAAAATTATCGACAATTTGTAATTTAAATATTTATTCGTTTTTCTTTTTTTTTATTTTCTTTCGCGAAATTAGTATTTATAACAAAACATACATATTGTGTGTCAGTAATTTGTATATTGTTCTAATTTTAAAAGCGCGAGCGTTTTATTTTCTTCTTTGAATTTATAAATTATATCTTTCTGAAAAACATTTTTTTGATTATATTATTTATAAATGAATTATAAAAAAATCGGGTCAAAAGAAATTTTGTTACTGATTTTAGATATGAAAAATAGTTTCTATATTTTACTGTCGTATCAATTTACGATTTACCGATATTTTATATTAGTAAAGAAATATTTTTTTGATAAAATAGTGAATAAAAATTCAATAAAAAAAAAAAAAATATTTTAATAGAAAAATATTTTAATAAAATATTTCCAAATTGAGATTATGTTCTTTTGAGTAATAATAGGTGAATTAAATGTTAATCGAGAGCAAGGTTTCATCATAAAGTCATGTCCTCGTGTTAATGTAATCAATAAAGCTACATGATATACCTTACACGTCCATTTTGAAATCCCCAGCGATGAGAGGCTCCCGTCTCTCTCTCATCACACGGAAATCATCTTGTCTCACCTACTAGCTTTACTTCACCGGATGTGGTTCGCGAACCGGTCTCGAAACAAAAAACGCGTCCTGCATATGGTGAATTGATTTATTATATCGAGTCAAAACTTTAAAATCTCTCGAGCGAAAGTGATTATATTTTGCAATGAATATTATATAGAAAAATATCACATTCTTGAAAATTACTTTCCCTTGTGTTCTCTCACATTAGAAAATTTTCACAAATATATAGGTTCCAATTTTTATTTTTTAAAGAGAAATCTCTCAATTATTCGATAGGAATTTGGTATATATATATATAATGATGCAAAATATTAGAAACAAAAAAAGAATTGAAAGGAATTTTCGATTTGGGCCTTATCATATGGGCCAATTAGGGTTCCAAATTTGCCAATTTGAAGATGCACACGGCTGTGTTAAAAAAAAAGAAGAAAGAAGCGATTGTTGCTAATCGGTAGGGGCGCATATTTCCGTGAATTGGTAGAAATAGAAGTGTGAGATTAAATGGAATGAGAGAAGGAGAATTTCTACTATGCGTGCGTGTTAAAGGCGAGTTTCTCACGGTGCATTCGGGAGGAAATTATAAGGGAGTGGGTTACCCGAGGGGGTGAGAGGGAGAAAAAAAGGGGGTGGGAGTCTCGCATATACAACGCGAGAGGGGTCAAATCATACTTAATTGATATCACAAAGAGGCCCCTTTAACGTTTTCAAGAGTCTATAACCTGAGACCTAAAACTTTCATAATCGCCAGCTTCTTCTTCTTCTTCTTCTTCTTCTTCCTCCTTGGTTAGAGGATTAAACGCCGCCTGAATCCATGTAAGCACGTAAATTACGCGCTTCGCATCATTTCACTTCGTATTGCCCTTCAAATTATTATTACTGTTGTCTTTAATATTTTTTTTTTTAATATCTCCCCCGCGCGATTGTGCACACATATTTTCTAAATATTCAATTTCCAATGAAACGAATTTTATATATTGTTATTATAAAGCGAAACTTTTATTTCACAAGAATTATCGCTAAATATTTTCATAAACTTTTTACAATAGAAAAATTACAATATTGATTTATAAAATAATGGGTCAGCAATAAATTATCTATTTCTATATATATATATATATATATATATATACATTTCATTTCCGTGTTTATAATGACCAATATATTGACAATTTAGAATGTAAATGAAAAATATCACCGGTTTATAACAATGCAATTTATGCAAATCTCTATGACTAAAGGACATTCCTTGACAGTTACGTTAGTTTCAATATATACACCTCTGGCAATAGAAAATGACTCTCCTATCAATAATAAACACATTTTTCACCCGAAATTAATAATTTTTATAATTTTATTCACACATTGAAAATAATGAATATTAATTATTTATTCAAGAACAAATAAAATTATTTTGATAATAAATAATGTTTTTTACAAAATTAAATATAAATATACAATATACTATATAAAGTGAAAAAAAGTTTTTAATAAAGTGTAACATTGATTACAGTTCCCTTATTTTTTTTTTCGACAATAAAAGAAATATATATAACTGTAAACGATAAAAACTTTCGTTTGCCCTAAAAAGATCGCGAGCACCCACAAAATGTTTCCTGTTTTTTCAAATTGAATTGATCGGAAATCGATTCTTTTAACTTTTTTTAAAAAGGATTTTAAAGATTTTTTTTGTTTTTTTTTTTTTTTGACTTCAGTGTTCCGGCAATGTATTTGTTCATTTTATTTTTGTAGTTGCTTTTGTATTTAAACAACCCTCTGTCTCTGACAAGTATATATATATATTCACCAGAAGGAGAGTTATTTACATCAAAGAAAAAAAATAAATAAAAATAAGGAGGCAGGACATTCAATAAAATAAATAACGAGACGTGCACGAGATAATTGAAGGGGGTCTAATTGCGCGCATCTTGAGTCTGTCTTGCAAAACGTGTGGCCGATCGTCATGTGGTCTAAAGAGTGTATATATATATATATATATATATATATATATGTATACATATGATCTGTTTCCCGTATCGAGGCGGACAAAAGAGGTTTCGCGTGATGATCAGACATCGGTTCAGTTTCCGGTTTACAAAAAAAAAAGACTCTGATGAAACAGAAAGGAAGTTATATACTTGACTTTGTGGCATATATATATATATATATATATATATATATATATATATATATATATATATATATATATATATATATATATATATATATATATATATATATATATATATGCTGTCGAACGTATTTGACTCTTCACCCACCACGCCATTGATCATGGAATTATCAACCACCTGTATTGAACCCCATTTACCGTTACTTACGTTGATTATTGCCACATATATACATATTGCTTCCGTACGTATATGATCAATTGTTTCGTCTTCGATATATATTCCCAAAAAAATACCGGTATTTCGAAACACGCGAAACCTCCATCTGGGATCAAAAAAAAGAAAATATCTTGGAAAATAGTTTATTAAATTCTTTCAATATTCATATTCATCAGAAACCAAATGTCCGTAAGAATCGCTTTCTCTTCCTCCTTCAATTATACTGTCTCTCCAATCCCAGAGAAAAGTTGAGTTTATTTTGTTGCGTCAAATTATTTTATTTAACGGTAAATATTTATTTTTATTTCTTATTACTCTTATTATTTTTATTATTATTTCATTATAATTCTCCTTTTATTTTTTTTATTTTATTCTAATTACCATTTTACTTTTGTTATGATTATTATTATTTTTCTATTACTTTTTTTCTAATATATATTTAATTTTACTTTTTTAAACTTAGTATTTATAATTTTTTTTTAACTCATATTTTTTTTTACAGTCAAGTAATTAATTTCTGTCTAGTGAATAAAAATGAGTTAAAATTAATTCAGGAGAATTCGTTTTTTTTTCAGGCAAAATCCTGTTAAAGTTGGGAATATATTAGTTCCGTGAATTTTCGCCCTTTGCACTAATGACACGTTGGGTTTTACCCGAATACGAAAGGTTTTTGCTATTGAGTGAACCTATAATGAACTCTCTCAAACATATATACACACGCGCACACAATTGCAAGTTTTATACTGCTCCAAAGTGAGCGAACAATAATTAAGATCTTATCGTTTAATTAGGGCCAATGCCAGAAGAGAATAATAATAATGATAAAAAAAAACAAAAGCAATACACACACAGCGTGTGTTTCGAATCGAGCGTCACGAAACGTTTTGTTTCTATAACATTTCAAGAGAGAGAGAGAGAGAGAGAGGTGTCTGAAGGGTAATAAATTGCTAGAAATAGGAAAGTATCACCAGGTGATATCAGATTGGCAGATGTTACTTTTTTTTATACTATATAACATACAGTAAAGTCCCAAAAACTCCCCTTGTTTTTCATCCACATGTTATTGAGAGACATAATATGAAATCAAAGGTTCATTTTCTCTTATTCTAACACGTTGAGTGATTGATGTCGTGACGATGATAATCCTAGATTTCAATGAAGAAAAATTGCGTGACTTTTGACACAAGTTTCACACATTTGTACACACAAGATTATCAAGGGATATTTATATTTACCTTTTTTTCAAATTTAATTCAACACAATAATGAAATTTTCTAAAAAAAAATTTCAAAAAAAAAAAAAATAAAAGTGAAAAATTGGATCAAAATTTGTTTATTGTGTTTTGTTAAATTTTACTAATTTATTATGATTTGGGTGTTATTTCATTTACTTTCTATTTTTTAAATAGGTACGTATAATTTCTACTATCATTTTATTAATTTTATATTTTTTATTTAATGATCAATTATCAGCTGCAGTTGTTGAAAATTAGTTAAGTGAAATAGAAATAGGTTCTGATAGAAATAAAGGGATGAGAAAATCGATTGCTGACGAAACATATAAGTGACGTCGAGTTTCTCAAATGCGTCGAGTGTTATGTAAACTTGAGTATATATGGGGTTTGTAACATATGGAGCAGTTGGACAATAAACACGCACTTTAAGCCCTTGTTTAATAAATTTTTCTTTATTCATTGTCGTTGTGAAATAGCCGTTCGATATATTACGAGGTGTTGGTATGACAATTATATTCTCCCCTATACATATAGTTAAAAGAAGTGAATTTCAACTTAATGACTATTGTCATAGAAGCATCGGAACGATCGACACTTTCACATGTGACTAATGAGACTGTTTTTTTTTTACCTCTTTCACATTGGGAAAAAAAAACAAACTCTTTAGGGTGGGGGTAAGTTACAATATTACGTGTTGCTTATTGTTAATGCGTGCGTACACATACGCACATTATTATACTTTTTGAGCGTCACGCAAATTAGAACAACCTATACAGTTGTCGTTCGTGTCAGAAGTAAATTAGAGTCAAGTGTTTTTAAAATCAGACATTCACTCAACAGTTCAAACCTTGTATATTAGTAATTACTGTTAAAAAATTACTATTATTCTACAGGTTGCTCATTATTTTTCCTATAGATTCGTCGCAGCTTCATAATTCCATATATTATATTGAATTCAAATTCGACTTCTTTTTCAAAGAAATTTTTTTTCAAAATCAACTTTATTTTCTTGTAAAACAAATTGGATGTGATCCGTGTGGAATTTGATCTCTTGACCACTAATTTTTAGCAGTTCATCATCATCATCTTTGGTCTCAGTTTACATCTAATTTGCATAGCATCACGCACTCGTAATTTAATAGACCGACAAGAGATTTGCTTCCAAGTAAAATTTCTTTCAAATAATCCATTTCATTCGAGAACTTTTTTTTTGCCTTCTTCCATTTGTATTTAAAGAATTTTATGTCTTAGAATCATCATCGACAATCATGTATATATATAATATAATGATCGTGGTATGATGCGCGCATCATGAGTCGGCGCGCGCATAACAAACTGGTCCAACCAAGATGATGCTGGAGGATACAGTGCGACTGGATTATGGAGTTTGTATCGCGGAATTATAACTAGTGGGAGGGAGATGCATAATGCCATACACGTACGTACCATAATGTCCGGCAATGCTCCAGTGAGAGGAAAAGAGAAAAACAGAGAGATAGAGAGAAGAAGAAGTATAAAGAGAAGGGAGGCTGCTAGGGAGAAAAGGAGAAGGGGGGGGGGAGTAAATGTTCTCCTTGAGCACTTTGGGTGGGGGGGTACTGACTGCAGAGAGGGAATTTCTACGAGATGAAAGAGCCTCGGGCAGTCACGGTCTTGTACACCCCCACGTACATCGTACGTAAATATATACGTATACAGATACCTGCACGTGTGTTGAGGAACACGCCCACCCACCCCCTTTTCATATCGACTGGATTCCACAAATAGTGCTTGCTCCTCTTTTGCCTGGATTCACCTTATTTAAGTACCTATTATTTCGAGTCAATTCTTGAAAAAATTCTTCTTCATCTTCAGTCTCGTTCAAATTATCGCTTATATTCAAATTAATATTGCCTTCATCAAAAACATAAACTAATTGTAGTCAATTTCAATCATTCGAGTTTTAATTTAGGTACAAGGAGGTTATTTTCTATTTTTATTTTCTTTATCTCATTTAGTACACACAGGTCAAGGAAAGACCTATTGATATTCAATCGATAGATAAGTTGGGTCGATGAGCTGCAAACACAGCTGGGCTTGCTTCGTCCGCAGGTAAGCGGGATACAGAGCGGGCCCTTGTATTACAACCACGAAATTCTCTTTTTGTGTGTATATGTGTGTGTTCGTTACTTTTACGTCGTTCTTGATCCCTCGTGTGTGCTCAGCTTGCAGCATTTCTGGGTATTTCACTATCTGTTGCTCATGCTGTGACCCTCGTTCAGAATTAATAGAATAGACTGTCTCTCTTGTGTAAATGACAATTTTTATACTGACTCTCCCACGCGTCAATATTGTAAATATCGCATCATGCTATCTTTTGATGGAAAAAAAAATTCCCTCCCAACGATCACTCCTATTGATAATGATACAATCTTTCACTACATGTATAAACTTCACATCTTATGGAATTAATGTTTCACATGTCTCATTTATCATAAAATAACACTCCATTTATTTCCACCTCAATGAATCATTATACAACTGATTTTTTTTTAAAAGTGTGTGATTATAAATGTTTATAATTGAAATATTTTATTGTGATGGGGTGTTACGATAATGAGACATTGAAATTTGTGTTGCAGGTACGACCTGGGGTTGCGTCGGGGTAGCTAATAAAGTGTCTACCGGGGGCGCGGAAGAAGGTACGACGGAGAGGCAGGTTGTGAGTGGGTCGACGTGCGCGACAGTAGAGAGAAGAAAGCCAGGAAGTCGAGAGTGCGAAGGCGCAGGCGCCGTGGGTGATGTGAGGCTGGCGCCCGCCTCACGTTTGGGGTGATGCCCTCCAGTGAGCCCCATCCCTCCCAGTACCACCTTCAGCATCACAACATTCCTCCCTCACACCTTCAGCAACATTCGTCGAACGCGATCGGGCAACATCAGCTATACCAGCAGCTGGTGGTGGCCCATCATCAGCAACAGCAACATCATCAGCAGCAACACGGCGGGCCTTTTCAAAATTCCACGTACGCGCAGCAAAAACAAGAGATGAGCCCGGAGGAGGAGGGTGGTCGAGGGGGCGGGTCCCCCCCGACTGCCGGGGCCGCTCTTCATCCACCTCATCATCCCCGCACGGCGAGCCCACCCTCCGGCACCGAACCTTGCACGAGAGATGCTATTCCAACACCCACCCCGATCGTGGACACGACGACCACAACTACAACCGCGATCCCCATTCAATCGCAGGGTCAACAGCAAACGCAACAAGGTTCAAGTCCAAGTCAGAGTCCAACCGGTGGTGATGTGGAAAAATTCGACGGTAAAATCGTCTACAATCCCGATGGTTCGGCGTACATCATTGAGGGCGAGAGTGAGCTCAGTGAAGATGATTCATTACCGGACGGCTGTATCGTTGACGGTCGAGGAGTTTCCGTACCCCATTCATTGGTATTTCCTCAAATCGCCAGCGCATACTACGTTTCCAGGCTCTATGCTCATCAAGCCTATCAGCAGCAGCAACAACAGCAGCAACGCACCTCGGCGACGCAACACAATCCCGATCTCCCGGTAATGCACAGTTATCGAGTCATCAGCTACAGAAGCGCCGAGGGCAGTAAACAACCGCCACCACAGCCCGTTGCACCACCATCGCCCGCTGCCACTGTCCCCGTCAAACCCATTCTCATGTGTTTTATTTGCAAATTGAGCTTCGGTTACGCAAAGAGTTTTGTCGCTCACGCTCAAGGTGAACATCAATTGACACTCATGGAGGACGAGAGACAAATTTTGTCACACTCGACAGCCTCTGCCATTCTCCAGGCTGTGGGCCGAAGTAAACAGCCTCTGGTCAGCTTCCTCGAACCAGTTACAAGTTCCACTTGTTCAACAACGTCGCCCGGACAAACACAAGGTCAACAACAGCAGCGAAGCGAGGGGAGCGAAATCGAAATACCCACTACCACGAGCACTCCAGCAAGTACACCTGGAGTGCCAAGTAGTCCGTTGCAGCAGCAACACAGGCCATCGCCAAGCACTCCCACAACACCCACATCTCACACGAATCATCCCCTCTCATACAATCATCATCAATGGCCCGCTGCTCAAGTCAGTGCAGCATCATGGGCCAAGGCACCCGACGCCGCGATGCATTATACCTCACCACCACCATCGGCCTCCACAAAAAGTTCTCCATCCTCCTACGCTGCATTAACGCAACAACCACCAAATTTTCTCACCGGCACGACAATTGGCGTTTGTCCCGAACACATGCAAGGCAGACCCAGCGGCGTCGAATGTCCCAAATGTGAACTCATTCTGGCCAGCAGTCGATTAGCTGGTCCAGGCGGTCCACTCGCCGGCATTCACAGTCGGAACTCCTGTAAAACCCTCAAGTGCCCAAAATGCAACTGGCACTACAAATATCAGGAGACACTTGAAATTCACATGAAGGAAAAACATCCCGAAAGTGAAACGTCCTGCATCTATTGCATCGCCGGACAACCACACCCAAGGTTAGCGCGAGGCGAAACCTATACCTGTGGCTACAAGCCCTACAGGTGCGAAGTGTGCAATTACTCGACGACAACTAAGGGAAATCTTAGTATACATATGCAAAGTGACAAGCACTTGAACAACATGCAGGAGATCCAACAGGGTGGCGGTGGTGCAAGTTCCGCCTCTACAAATCCCTCATCATCTCAGGATGCACCCCTACCAACACGTAGTCCCCATCATCAACAGAATCACAGTCCACACCTTGGCTGTCAAACAGCAACACAAGGAAAGCCCAAACCAACGTTTCGCTGTGATGTTTGCAATTACGAAACGAGCGTTGCCAGAAATCTCAGGATACACATGACCAGTGAAAAACACACGCACAACATGCTCGTACTGCAGCAGAACGTGAAACAAATGCACGCACTCTCAGCCCTACAGAGTCATCATCAGCAGGCGCAACAACATCATCATCAACAAGCTCAACAGCAACATCAACAACAACTCGAGCAATTGATACACCTCGGCGGTCTCGACAAACCCCAACACGCTGAAGCCGCTCTCGCCGACATGGCCTACAATCAAGCCCTTCTTATTCAAATGATGACCGGCGGACAACTACCTCCCCAATTGCCACCCGAATTAATGGGCGGCATGGCCAATATGAACGTCATCGGCAATCTCGGCGGTGATGTTGGACTATCACCCGACAGTATGGAACCACCACCAGAACCCGCGGATCCCGATCCAACACATCTCTATCACTGTTGTGTTTGCAATAATTTCGCCACCGATTCACTTGAAGCCCTCGGTCAACATTTAGCAGCCGATAGAACGAGAACGCGCGAAGGTGAAATTCTCGCACTCGTTGCCGGTCATTTTGTCTGTAAACTCTGTTCCTATAAAACAAATCTCAAGGCAAATTTTCAATTGCACTGCAAGACTGATAAACATTTGCAGAGGTTGCAACATGTCAATCATGTGAAAGAGGGTGGACCGCGAAACGAATGGAAATTAAAGTATCTCGCGTCGCCAACAAGTGCGGCACAATTACGTTGCCATGCTTGCGATTATTATACGAATAGTGCTCATAAACTTGCGTTACATGCGGCATCGCCACGACACGAGGCTGCCGCACTTCTTCTTCGTCATTTACTCGAGGCTAGTTCTAATGTACCGTCCGCGGCAAAGCTTTATCATTGTGCACTGTGTATGTTCAGTGCACGACATCGTTTGCCATTATTACAACATGTGAGGTCACTTAGACATCTTCAAATGGAACAAATGCATCAAATTCATCGTCGTAACAGTATTCAAGGCAATGAAACGCCTCACACCGATATTGGTGATGTTTTTCAAGTTGTACCGGATCCAGATGTACCCACAACACAACAATCAAGCCCAACAACACCTACCACTCCAAATGCCGCAAACACAAGCAATGGTGAGGCAACGTTATTATTGATTTCATATATGAAAAAAAATAAATAAATAAAGCTTGGCACATTTTTCACTGCACTAAATTTATGCACTGCTTTTGTTTCTTATTGCACCACAAAATTGTCACCATTATTTTTTTTGTTGCTAATAAAAAATTGTCTCGCTTACTGAAAGCCTTTGCCTCTGTTCTAGTTTTTGAAAATTTATTTTCGCTTGACTGACTGTATTTTTTACTTTGTAAGATTGGCTTTATTTTCAAGATATTTCGATATTTTGAAATAATTTTATTTACTAATACACACTACCTGAAAATAAATTCGTTACTGTATATACTGACACAAATTTTATTTGATTCAAATATTCATATTGGTTGACTATTGTCTAATTCATACTTGAACCAAAATGAATATTTACTGAATCCAAATAAATATTTTCTTGAACAAAAAAATATTTGTTTGAAACAAATTAATATTTGGTTGAATCAAATAAATATTTGATTACACCAAATAAATATTTACTTGAAACCAAAAAAATATTTACTTGAATCAACTGAAGTCTATTTAAATCATATCAATCAATTGAAAGCTCTCATGTTTAGTACTTTTTTTTAAATACGAAAGCTTTTAAAGTTGATAAGATGTGATTTACAAAGATCCACAATTTTTTTTTTGCCTTTATTTCTCTCCTCTGGCTTTCTTCTCAGATAAACAAGTATTATTTTTTTACTATTTTGTAAATAATTCTTGTTTTAACACGTTGTAACCATTTTTTTTTAAATTTGGTTACATAAATAACACTTTCTTTGGCTTTATCGATAATACAATTATTTTATTGCATGTTTAATTTATCATTTTATAGCCCACGCACATTATTATAATTTCGAAACCTGTTCTGAATCACAGTTTTCAGAATGCATGACATTTATAAGAATTCTCCATTTTAAAAACAATATATAAATTGTTTTTTTTCGGAACAGGTGAAACCTGATTTTTATGCTTTAAAAATTTTATTTTTATTGTAATTGTTGTGTTATTATATTCTATTTTCTCCATATTTTATTGTTTAAAAATAGTGGTATACTCTAGTCAAATTGATCCATTAGTAAAATGAACGAAATATTAATAAAATTTACTAACTATTGAAAAAATTGACTAATTATTTGTCTAATTTACTAATTAATTAACGAATAACAATATTTTTTAGTATAGGTAGAAAAATAATTCTAATTGCAAAAAATTAAACACAGGAAAAAGAAAAGTTGATGGTTTTTTCAGTGAATTGTGTCAAAGAAAAAAAAAAAATTATGGTATTTGATCGGTAACAGGTTGAAAGTGGGAATATGGATGAGAAGTTTGAAAGAATGAATTTAGCGTGACATGCAAAAGTCGGGTTGCAAAAAGAAAAGAAAAGAAAATAAAAGAAAACCAATGCAAGAAACTTGTTTCTTTGGCGCGTTTAACGTTCGCATGAGGTGAGTAATTATATGCGCGTAAAATACGAAAAAAAAAATATATATATATATATATACATATTCGCGGTCTCAAAATGGCGCCTTTGCGCCCATGATGAATTCAGTGTTGTCATCGATTATCTCACAATTAGTCCACGATGACGGTAATTTTACGTGGCATATGGTTGTGGCGTGTGCCATGCCGTGCACAATTCCAAGTGCATTATCTGTTAGACTATATACTTATAAAATTGTATGTATAGTCGAAGACAGCCGCACACTCCGTCTTATATATACCTATATATACCTGTTCATTGCAACTGACGCTGATGCTCAATGCGGTTTTGGACAATGCCATTCGGGATAGTGGCATCTTTTTACTCTTTTTTCTCGGAAACGTCCGTTACTAATTTCGTATTACAAATCTATAATTTCACTTTTGTTATTAGCAAAAACGAGTTCACATATGTACCGCCTCAGACTGGTTTTTCGATTCCCTTTATTACATTCAAAACTTTCTCCTTGAATATGTTTCAATAATGCTTCGATGTATTTGTATATATATATATATATATACTATATGTATGTCGATTCACCGAATGAATTTCGCGCCAGATCGCTTAAAAATGTTGCATGTGCCTCTTTATTGATTTGCATGGCTCAACATTTCATTTCGTAAGCCACTTCCGGTCTATGGCCAAGATATAGATAATGAATTCAAATACCGGTATTCCAAGGAAAAGACACAACACTGCAGTTACAAAAGTCGGACATCGCCAAAATTCGATATATAGAACATGTGCAATTTTTAAATTACAAGGAAATATCCAATTGATATATAAGTATCAAAATTGCATAGCTTTTAAATAAAGAAAAAAAATTTTTTCACCAAAACTGGGTTAGTGGAAATAAATTTCTTTTCTTTCTTTTTTTTTTATTCAGAATTCACATGATATATATATATATATATATATATATATATATATATATCATAAAAATCGAGGCGCTATAGTCATTTTAAAATATGTCGATACTTAAATCGAAAAAGAAGACAAATTCACTTGGACATGTATGTGTCTCTAAAATGCAGTTTCCGCGCGCGTTTATAATATATACTCAGATGTGTCTGTTCGATTTGTCTATAATTTACTTTCTCTTGACGTATTAGCCGCATCGAGATAACGTTCACATGTGAGTGCATTAGCCGCGTGTTGTTATTTAAAAAAAAAAGACATTTAATTTCACAATACGCGTCACATGAATTAATTACCGAGATTTATAACATTTTGAAATCAACTTTGAAATTACATTAGATCTTTAATTCTTACTTTGATTGATAATCAACGCCTTTCGGTATATATGTATATATATATTCGCTTTTGGAATGAGTGCGTAAAGAGAGAAAGTTACTAGAGTATAATTATGACACGATTGTTCCTTTCTTTTGTCGTTAATATCGTCGTCATTTCAGGCTTTCAAAAGCTAGTTAACTAAAATTCATTCGCAAAAACCAAAGACGTGCCTCTCACGAGACGAAAATCACTTGTCCGCAAACAGTAAATTATATAGTTTCAAAATATATGTTGATTTCGCTGGTAATAATAACAATAATAATAATAATATCTCGTAGAAAGAAAGACGATTTCCATGAAATTAACTTGTTTTTTCACGACTAATAGATATCATTATTGAGTTAAATTGTTGTTCATTTTTTTTTTTACTTCCATATCTAAATATTATGGATATTTTAATAAATCTAGAACGAATATAATTACATTGATTCAATAAAACATTATTATTGTTATCTTATTTAATCACTCGAATAATTGACAAGTTGATCAATTCTTTATTGAACGAAAAAAAAAAATTATCTTTTCTAAAAATATTCATCATTGAAAAATTAATAACTTACGATACATGTATAAATAATAAAATTAAAGCGTGGGTCTATATGATTTTCAACTGACAATTCACTGAATGAATCAAAGTTTCTTTTTCAATTTTCGAAATATATATATTGAACAATATAATAATTATAGATAGGAAAAAACAATAACTGGACTTGACATATAACAGGCGATATTTTGTTTTGTTAATTTGCAGAGCGGCGAGAGGAAGGCAGTGAGAGTGGGAGTGAGGTGAAACAGGAACCAGACAACGAACCAGAACAAGATCAAGAACCGGAAGCCGAAACGGACGAAATTAATTGTCCCTATTGCACTTATCAACCAACGTCCCGCGAAGAATTAAGACAACATATGCAACTTGCTCATGTTCAAGACACAGAGGACAAGGCAGAGAGTGTCAAGGAGGAACCAACTCCCGATTTGCTTTGTCCACTTTGTCAAGATGGTTTCAAAGAAAGAACAGCTCTTGAAAAGCACGTAATGCAAATTCATTCAGTGAACGCTGACGGTCTTCAGAGGCTTTTACTATTAGTCGATCAGAGTCATTGGTTGAATAATAATCCAAGGAACACGTCAACGCCAGCAGCGGCGCCACCTTCACCTGGCAGTATGACGAAACAACAGCCAGAGGAAGATCTCAATGAACAAACAGTCAGCGAGGAAGTTGATGAAACAACCAGGTGTACAATTTGCGGTAGAATTTGTCGATCGCTGGAGGAACTTCAGCAACATCATCGTGAAACACATCCAGCGACAACGCCAACTTTAGCCGTGAGTGAAAAACACGTTTACAAATACAGATGTGGACAGTGCAGTCTCGCCTACAAGACACTTGAGAAGCTTCAACAACACTCGCAATATCATGCAATTCGAGATGCAACAAAATGTGCAATCTGTGGACGTTGTTTTCGATCCGTCCAGGCCCTGCAACGACATCTTGAATCAGCACACTCCGATCTACAGGAAGACGAATTGGCTCAGTATAAGCAGAGTTTGCTACATGCTCATCCATTGTTGCAGGCTCTAACTGAAGAAGCACTCAGACGACAGAGTGGAATGATCGCCGAGCAAAACACTGAAGACGAGAGTCGATGCGATGAAGAGGAAAGTGACGCCAGTGATTCATCACCATTGCACAAAGAACAGAGGCTTTTGGAGGATTATTTAAACAGTCAACCAGTCGCTGAAGATTCATATCACGATCCTGGACGAAAATTCAAGTGCCATCGTTGCAAAGTAGCTTTCACGAGGCAAAGCTACCTCACTGGACACAACAAAACACTATTACATCGTAAAGGTGAAAAGATGTCGTACCCAATGGAAAAGTATTTGGATCCCAATAGACCTTACAAATGTGATGTATGCAAAGAAAGTTTCACGCAAAAGAACATTCTCCTTGTCCATTACAACAGTGTCAGTCATTTGCATAAATTAAAGCGAGCAATGCAAGAGCAGGGCAACAATAACACCCTTATTTCAGTGGTACCACCAGCCAGTCCCACTGAATCCGCCGAAACACAACAAGATCAAGATAAGAAACCTTACAAGTGTAACATCTGCAAAGTGGCATACTCGCAGGGCAGCACTTTGGACATTCACATGAGGAGTGTTCTTCATCAAACACGCGCTGGCAAACTTCAAGATCTCGCAGCAAGTGGTCAAGTCGATCTCGGAAGACCTTTGATTGAACAACCACCACCTACAAGTCCAAACAGTCCACCGTGTAACACAAACACTGGCAGTGGTAATAATATGCTCTCCTGTTCACGTTGCAGTGCTTTGTTCGTTAATCAAGAACAATTGGCAACTCATCAACAGCTCTACTGCATCTTCAGCAATCCACTTGCTCTTTTTCAACAACTCGCCGCCTCCCAACAAATGGCCACGAATCCCTCGAAAACACCTCCACCAACATCATCAGCACCTCAACTTATCCAGCAACAAGCAACATCCCAACAGGCTTCTCAAACTCAAGACATTCTCTCCCAACCCCGACACAAAACGTCACAAATGTACAAACATCTATTAGAGAGTTTTGGATTTGATCTCGTGATGCAATTCAACGAAAATCATCAAAGACGTCAACGTAAGGAGGAGGAAGCTGCCGCTGCTCTACAAGCTCAACAGGAACAACAAAAAAAGGAGCAACAACAGCAAGCTCTAGCAGCACAAGCTGCACAAGAGAAGGAGGAAGAAATTGACGAGCATGGTGATGACGATGTGATACCAGAACTTACTCGGAGTACATGCCAGCACTGCAACAAGGAATTCAGCAGCGTATGGGTCTTGAAGGCACACTGTGAAGAAGTTCATCGGGATCTTGTTCCACGTGAGTTTCTTGAGAAATACGCACAGCAATTTAAATGTGAATATGAGAAAAAGAGCGTGGTAGTTACAGCCGCTACTTCATCATCAACAACAACAACAGCACCGAGAAGTACAACACCCGCTGCCAATCAACCCCAAGATCTAACATCCGACAAGGAGCAACGGAACAAGGACAAAGTGGAATCACCAGACAGTAAAGAGAATATTAGCCGAACTCCTGAAGCAACATCAACAACACCAGCAACAACACCGGCCCTGAGCAATACTCCCGTTTCAAGTACCGATTCTGGGACGCCAACTGCTTCGGCGACAAATCCACATCACATGCAACAACAACAACATCAGCAGCAACAACAGCAACACGCTCAATTAACTCTTGCTCAACAAATGACCGAAATGCAAGCTGCTTTAAATGCAATGGCCGCATCACAGTTGCAACAACATCTTCAACAATATCCCGGTTTGATGATGGGAATGATGGGACTTCCATTGGGACTCAATGTTCCTGCTTTAGCAGCAATGAACCTTCAGCCACCATTGGTACCCATGATGCTACCACCTCCACCATACGATGGCGCTGCCAACGCTTATCCTCCAATCAATGCTCAAGCCGATCTTCTAGCCAAACAACATCTTGCCCTCCAACAACAGCAAGCTGCCGTGGTGAGTTTTCTTCCAAATTATTATTTTAGTAATAGAATATCAATTTTAAAAATTAAAAAAAGTATTTTTTTAAATTAAACTAGAATCTAATCCTTTTTCATTAAAAAAAAAAATATTCTTTATTCAAGAAAAAATTTAGTTTAAGAAAGATAATTAATTCGAGATTTGATATTGAATGTTCGTAGGCAAATGCCGCCGCTTCACAAAAACGCGCTCGCACACGCATCACTGATGATCAACTAAAGATATTGAGAGCACATTTTGATATCAATAATTCGCCTGGCGAAGAGCAAATATTAGACATGGCTGCACAAAGTGGATTGCCGCCAAAAGTGATTAAACACTGGTTTCGAAATACACTATTCAAAGAACGTCAACGCAACAAAGATAGTCCGTACAATTTTAACAATCCACCAAGTACAACACTCAATCTTGAAGAATATGAAAAAACAGGCGAGGCAAAAGTCACTCCTTTAAACTCCAGTGTGTCCGGAAGCAGTTCTGATGATAAGAGCCCAAATAAACAGACGTCACCACCACCATCATCGATACCGACCATCAGTACACCACAATTACCTGAGATCAAACAAGAATTACCCGATCCAATTCAATTTCTCCAACAACATCAACCTGAGGAACATCAACAACATCATTCACCAGGTAGTTCAGGTGGTCAACAATCGCGTCCACATTCACCAGCTCTCAGCATGAGTTCAGTTTTTTCCGGACTACATCATGATATATCAACACACTGTCCATCAGTCACAAGTGCACCAAGCACACCAATGCTACCACCAAAAGTGACACCTCAAAATTTCGCCACTCAAAGCCCTGGCCAAGTGGTGAACATTGTTCCAAGTTCAATAGCCGCCATGGCCTTGACACCCCAACGATCCATAAGTCCTGGCCGAGGACCAGCCGATTATTCCTTTGGTGGCAACAGCAATGGGAGTAATTCATCAGGCGGTAGCTCGGGTAAACGTGCAAATCGAACGCGCTTCACCGATTATCAAATAAAAGTTCTTCAGGAATTTTTTGAAAACAATGCATATCCAAAGGACGATGATTTAGAGTATCTCAGCAAACTTTTGGGACTTAGTCCGCGTGTGATTGTCGTGTGGTTTCAAAATGCAAGACAAAAAGCGCGTAAAGTGTATGAGAATCAACCGGCCGCTGAACCAGTGACACCGGGCGGTCGCGAAGGTGACGACGGTTCAGGACGTTTTCAAAGAACCCCTGGACTTAACTATCAGTGCAAAAAATGTCTATTAGTGTTCCAACGATACTACGAGCTCATACGTCATCAAAAGACCCATTGCTTCAAGGAGGAGGACGCTAAGAGAAGTGCTCAAGCTCAAGCTGCCGCCGCTCAAGTTGCCGCTGTTCTCAGTTCTGAAGACAGTAACAGTAGTACCGCAACAACAACAAATACCGGTACAAATAATCCATCAACAACTCCAGCTCTTACCGAGCAATTGCAACAGCCAATGAAAATATCTACTCCACCACATCAGCAACAACAGCCGCAACAGCAGCAAAGTCCTTCCCCACAGCAACAACAATCTCAATCACAAAATGAATCCAAGGAGGGTAGCTTCCAATGTGACAAGTGCAATCTAATGTTTGGTAGATTTGAATTGTGGCGTGAACATCAACTTGTACATATCATGAATCCGTCACTATTCCCACCAGCCTATCCACCTGATTCACCATTTGGTATATTGCAACAGCAGGCTTTAAACGCAACCACTGGCGTATCATCAGAGGCTCCTCATCCACTAATCGCCATGATGCAAGATCGTAAGAGAAAATTTGATGACTTTGACGATCTGACTGGTGAAATTCGACCCAGTACCGAGCACAATGAACAGCCCAAGGACAAAAGACTAAGAACGACCATTCTACCCGAACAACTCGACTATCTTTACCAAAAGTACCAAGTGGAATCGAATCCATCGCGAAAAATGTTGGAAACAATTGCTCGTGAAGTGGGACTAAAGAAAAGAGTGGTGCAAGTGTGGTTTCAAAATACTCGCGCACGCGAACGTAAAGGACAATTTCGTGCTCACAGTCAAGTGATCAACAAACGTTGTCCCTTCTGTCCAGCTTTGTTCAAAGTAAAATCAGCCCTCGAATCACATCTGAGTAGCAAACACGCTGATCAAGTGGCGCGTGGTGAAGTAAACATTGACAACATCCCAGACGAAGAACTCTCAATGGAATCCGCACCATCGAATCCATCAACACCCAATATGATGCCACCTCTCTTTCCACCATTCAATTCCGAAATGGAAGCATCACTGAAGAAATATTACGAGGAGTCAATGAAGCGATACATCAGCGAACTTCAGGCACACACCAGCAATGGTAAACAAGAATCGGGAAGCAATCAAACAACCGGCAATTCCGGTGAATCACCATTAGACTTGAGCAAACCAGTTGATCTCAGTCGTCCAGTGAAATTAAGTCTTGGTGGATTGAGCAGTTTACTTGAGGAGCAACATGCATTAAATTTACGTGGTGGCAGTGATTGTGGTCCATTGACGGATCTCTCGGAGCGTAGTATTTGCGATGACGACAGCTTGAGTGAGACCACTGAATTTTTGGACGATGAAAGTGGACCCGCAAGTCCAGCGTCAAGTACACAGAGTTCACGTCAGGGTGGACAGAGTGGCGGCGGTAATATGAGTGGCAGTCTACCAGTTAGCGGGAGCGGAGGCGGACAATCAGGTGGCAAGAGGTATCGGACACAGATGTCAGCGACCCAGGTGAAGGTGATGAAATCCCTATTCTCCGACTACAAGACACCGACGATGGCCGAGTGCGAGATGCTTGGACGAGAGATCGGACTCCCAAAGCGTGTGGTCCAGGTGAGCATCGGCGCAACCCCTCGTGCAGCCGCAACCCCAACTCCCACCTCGTGATCCCGCAACCATTCCAAGGACGAGCAGAGTGCTAATGGAGACGAGTTGCAGGTATGGTTCCAGAATGCACGTGCCAAGGAGAAGAAGGCCAGGCTTGCGGCTGGATTACCGGCCGAAGGCTCGGCAGTTCAACCACATCGGGGACCAACGGGGCCTGACGAGTGTCGACTATGTTCCGTTCGTTATTCGCCCAAATCACCACTTCAGGAGCATGTCTTCTCACGGCGACATATTGAGGCTGTTCGTGTCGCTGTTGAAGACGGCAGTCTGGTACCACCAACACCGGGGGCACCAATTCTCCCCGGTGGTGTTACCACTGTTCCCACTGCCGCCAATCAATCGAGCAATCAACAGCAACAACAGCAGGACGAAAATATGATGTATGGATCCCTCTTTCTTCATCCCACGGCCATGTTCCAGCAGCAGCAGCACACCAGTAGCGCTGCGGCCAGCACAACAACCACCACGGCCGGTGAGTGTCTGGCTGACCTCTTAGATTCTTAAGCGCCCGAAGCTCGTGCTCTCGAAATTCACACCTAACTTGAGTCATTGTTCTATTTTGATCATTGTTCCCAAAAAGATTGAATCAGTATTTCAAAACATGATCAATATTTTAAACAATTGTTCCAACAGAGATCCAATCAATTAAATCATAATTGATTCGATGAACTTAAAAAAAAATTCTTTAGACAATTGAATCTAAACAATTAGATAATTGGTACAATCATTGATAACAGTGATCAACAACAATTGAGATAGTTAATAGGAAAAATTATTTGATGTTTTGTTGTAATATGAAATAAAGTAGTTACTAAATTTTGATCATTTAAAAAAAAAATGGAATTACGAGTGCACGCGCAGCGTTACGTGTCGTGTACGTCTCGTGGATCATGTTTGTATACATAACTATATAAAAAAAAAATTGGGCCCGTGTGATACTCTAGGGGGTCCACAAAAAAAAAGCTATTGTGTTTATATAGAATTCTAAATGTCTTTTTTATATAGTTCGATTAATATATCCAAGAGCTAGGCAATACTGAAAGTTCCTATCAGATGACTATTTCTAGCATAAGTATGAATGATAGGATGCGCATGAGAGTGTGTGAGATAGAGAGAAAGCAAGCACGTGTAAGAAAGTAAGAATGAGTGAAATGAAAAAAAAACAACTTAGGAATTTAAGAAATAGGCGAATAAATAAAAATTATTACTAGACGAGATCTAATTATAAACCACGCGAAGCTGATTATTAGAAAATAAATCTTCCGATCGTTGTATAACGGAAGATATGTTGCATTAAGTTGCTGTACAGTAAAGACTATATTAGAAATTCAATACGACTTTATTATAATATTTTGATAATGAATCAAATTAGCATCAGACAATTTTTAGGTCGATTACTATTCGATGCTTTTTGATTCATAAATATATAAATATATAAATATATATATATATATATAAATAAATATATATAGTAGTATAGCCAGGAAGAACGGAGGTCAGACTGTATTGCCTTTCATGCCGATGTATTGTAGTATATTTCACCCCCCCCCCCTCTCTCTCTCCCTTTCACCAATTTTTTTTTTTTCAATCGACGACGACAAAATGCCGCGAATGCCCCCTCCCCAACCCCCACAAAAGCCATTATAAAATCGTGTCATCTTTTGTTATACACTTTCTTCGTCGTTTCTCGTACGATTTTTACTATGTAAATACCTCACAAAAAAAAGCTCTCACTCCTATATCCGTGGGGCCAGAATGGGGGACTTTTTTTTGTTAATTTGTCTCCATTCCGGCTCCCCCCCATCTCAATTGAGTATATTCTGCTCGACACGCGTTGCGCTTTTCATCCCATAAAAATAAAAATAATACTGCTCAGGCGAAGCTCAACGCTCCTGTTTTTTGTAAATAAATATAGCAGGAGAGAAAAAAATCTAAGACTTTTTTTTTTTTATTTCACTTTATTATTTTTAATAATAAGTGTATTTCGTTTAAAATTAAAAAAAAAAAATTGAAAAAAAAGTAAATTTAAAACAAATGTAATTATAATTAAAAAAAAATCGTAAATGCTAAATTTATAAAAAGAAGTAAAAATTAAAGAAAAACATAATAAATTATAATTAAATTATAAAAAAATTTTTCTATTTTAGTGAATATTATTATAGTAAATTTTTAAGAGAGTGTTCACAAAGTGTATAACTGTTTGTTTGGAAAAAAAAGTATTAAAATGAATTTTGCAAAATTTCTTTGTACTTTTTAAAAAAAAAAATGTTGTAATTAATTTTTGTTGGCGTTTTTTTTTTGTTTGTTATAAAAATGATGCTTAGCCTGAACAATCATATTGCGGTTAAAAGCACAAACGTCATATCGAGTCAAAACGGAATCTACTCGCATTGATTTTATTCGCCACTATTATTATTATTATTATTATTATTATTATTATTAATTATTATTATTATTATTAATTATTATTATTATTGTTTTACAAGTTAGTTATTTATGAATTTCTTTGTGATCGTCACAGTCTCGCCAGCCCGCTATGGGGGTTTTCAAATCGAAATCCGAGCACACCGTGTGTTCGGCTTTACTTTTTCAATTACTCCTTTTCACTGTTTGTATCGCAGCCGGCGAGGGTGTGGCTTTGCTTCTTCGCTTTTTTTTTTTATTCCTCCATACAAATCAAACGTTCACACACGTACACGTACACATGCACTTACACGCGTACATGAGACATGACCGATTTGCGATTAGCGAATTTCGGAAATTTACAATCGACTTATAATCATTATCACAATATAGTAAAAAAAATAAAGAAAAAAAAACATTCCTAAAGTTGGAAACTTGTGAAGGAAAAAAAAAATTAATTTAAATATTTTCTTATTTTTATGAAAAAAAACATGTTTTTTATTTCATTTTTCTCAAGAAGAGAATTTTTATTTCATTTTAAATATTTTATGTTTATTTTATACACTTTTTAAGTTATATGTGTATGAGAATATTTATCTATTATACATATCATTATGATTTTAGTTTTGTTTAAAAAAAAAGATAATGATTTTGTTTGAATATTGCTTCAGCGCAATTAAAAAAAAAAAAAAAAACTATTAAGAATTCTAGTTTCCATTCTTTTTTTGACATTTTATAATTATTTTGAAAATGTTTTTTTTTTTTAAAGTGAATTTTAATAATTGTAAATTTCGGACAACGCGTCGCTAAATCCCTCCTCTTCCTTCCTCAAAGTTATGTATGTCGGTCCTACTACTCTTGTGTAAATAATTTATTATTATTATTATTTTATATTATTAATATTATATTATTTTCTTCCGTTCTAGTCTAAAATAAAGCTATACTATCGCAAGATTACTTTTTTGTTTCTTCATTTTGGAGTTTATACCTTATCCTAAAAAAAATATCCTTATTCCTTCCAACGAGGCTTACAATATATAGAGGTTGCAACATTTTATTATTCATCAAGCTGCAGGTACGTTCATTAACTAAATTCAGTGTGATAGAATAATTTGGAAAAAAAATATTATTTCAATTTATAAAATAGTAAAATTCTCTTGATTCTTTTTATATTGTCAAATTCTTTCAATTCAGTTATTTTAATTATAATCAAATTCTTTAATAAATAATTTTTATTTAAATATATTTTAATTCTTTTAATCTTGGTAAAATAATTTTTATTTTAATTATATTTTAATCTTAAATATTTTAAAATATCTAGTTAAATAATGATTTTTTTTATTTCTTTTGACGTGTTACGTATGTAAGGAAATTAATTTTTGATATTTTACAAGATAAATGCGGAAAATTCCAAACTTTTCAATTTAAAAATCTAATTTTCTTATCACGAACAGAAAAATTATTCTCAACATCAAAGGATTTTATTCATATATTAAATAATTTTAAAAAAGGTAGGCAAAGATTACAAAACAGAAGATGGACTATGCGACTACAAAAAAAATATATAAGGAATATTCTCAATTGGAGAGTATACATACAGATATAGGCACTAACGAAAATGTGGACTCAAAAAGAGTGAAACATTTCTTTTCCAAAAAGAAATTTATCAACGAACTTCACTAAAACATATAGACAAAATCCTCTTTTTTTTATGAAAAAGCATTTTATTAAAACAACATTTTTTAAAACTATTTAAATAGATTTTAAATAATACACCACTTATTGAAAACCATTTTAAAATTTAATTTCTGAATATTTAAACTAATTATTATTATTGAAGTAATTATTTTTTTTTAAAGAAGAATTGTAAAATTATTTTTAAATCACTTGCGGTACAGAAACAAGCAGCCGATCCTTAAGGTATCTAATTTATTTGTTGTTGTTTTTTCTCCAGTAAAGACAAAATAAAAAAAAAAAAACACGGTATTTCTGAAAATCGAGGCAATCGCAAATGGTTAAAATGTTTTGTCTGCGGGTGGCCCGGACTTATCGCTTGACCGTGTATAACATTTCCAACAGAAAGATATATATATAATGCAACATTGAACGACTCTCTTTCTCTCTCTCTCTCTTCTGGTAAAAATCACGGTTTACCAAGTTGAAAACCGACCACCTGTAATTACTCTCAATGAATCTTTGACTCGAACCTTCGTGGAACTTACTTAAAGGGTAAAATAGTTGCCTCTGCGTTTCCATAGCTCTCTCTTCTTTTTTCTCGAACTAATTAAATTTTTCAATCTTCAGGTGCCGTTAATAATAATATGAAAAAAAAGAAGAAGAGTCCTCTCGTTCCGTAACAAATCCGATTTTTTTTTTCGTGAATATATAAAGGAATCTTGTTGTTTTTGCGAGTCGATCGTTTTCATGTCAAAGTCATCTTTCTGCCTGTTGTTTGAAAACGATATGCGGGTTTGGGTTAATTAGACGCGGCATTTTTTTTTTTTTTTTTATTTCTTCGGGATCTTCTTGCATCCGCCGAGGATACAATGCATTTGGCGGCGCGTTGAAATGAGGTAGCAAAGAATATCCCCATTGTGTTACTCGTCGGTTGTATGGTGTTGCTCCTGACGCGGTCGCTTGGTCTTGTCAGAGGAGATCTAAAACGACTATAGTCTCTCTCTCTCTATCTTTCTTTATTTCTTTCTCTCACTCTCTCTCTCTCCCCCGTCTTGAATATCGCGATAAAAGCCAATAAGAGTTAAAAATAAAATCCGCCACAAAAAAAGACAACAACACAGCCCTAACACAAAAATCGAAACAATAAGCTCGATTATCCGAACGAGAAATTGATTCCTTAGCGGCGGCATGTTTGAACCATCTGGCCTATACACATGCGGTTAACTTTTCGTGTTCTTTTCTAACCAAAACCCTCACAGTAGCTTTCTTTCTTTCATTTAATTCGTGACATGAAAAAATAAGAGCAAAACATCATAAAATCGCCATTTTGTGAAATTTTGTTCAAAATTAAAATCACAGTTAACTTTGAAGGCCGTAAGAAATTATAATTGA